TTACAATGTATATGATACACTAATTTATGATAAAAAGCTTCTTTCTTACACATATTGTATTTATGTTTATTTTAATTTATATATTTTAGCTGAATTAAATTAGTAATCATGCCGCCGAAAAAATCAATGGAAGAAACTGACCGATTGACTCGGATAGCAATTGTAAATTCTGATAAATGTAAGCCTAAACGATGCAGGCAAGAATGTAAGAGATCGTGCCCAGTAGTAAGAATGGGAAAGCTCTGTATTGAAGTCACTCCGAACAGTAAAATTGCCGCTATCTCAGAAGAGTTATGTATTGGATGTGGTATTTGTGTCAAGGTACAATACAACAAAACTACATGATATAATAATATGTTTATGATGAAATTAATACATTAAATTGATGCAAAGTATATTTTATATTACTAAGGAAATCATATATTATTCGGATGTTCTTTAGAATTGAATAATAAGTAACTTTTAACACTGAGGTTTTAACAAAAACTCATTGTTGCAGAAATGTCCGTTTGAGGCAATATCTATCATTAATCTTCCCAGTAATTTAGAGAAAGAAACAACGCATCGTTATTCGAAGAACTCATTTAAGCTGCATAGACTTCCCATTCCACGTCCAGGTGAAGTTCTAGGACTTGTAGGGACTAATGGAATTGGTAAATCAACAGCGCTTAAGATTTTGGCTGGCAAGCAAAAACCAAACTTGGGAAGATATACTGTATGTGACTATATCTTTCAATATATATATATGCATCTATTCCATTGATAAAATGGATAACAAGCTTTTTTTTATAGGATCCTCCAGACTGGACAGAAATTTTGAGTCATTTCAGAGGTAGCGAATTGCAAAATTACTTTACGAAAATCTTAGAAGATGATCTGAAAGCGCTCATTAAGCCACAATATGTTGATCAAATTCCTAAAGCTGTAAAAGGTACTGTGCAGCAACTTTTGGATAAAAAAGATGAATGCAAGAATCAAATGGACATTTGCTTAATGCTTGGTAAGTAATATTTATTAATTTTTTTTTTCAATCTGTTACATTTCTATTGGAAGCTAATTGTAAGACAATGAGAAGTTTATAATTTTTTTATATTTTATATTTTTATTATTTTTTTTTAGACTTGCTGCATATACGCGATCGAGGCATCGAAGCACTTTCGGGTGGTGAGCTTCAGCGATTCGCTTGCGCGATGGTATGTATTCAAAATGGAGATATCTTTATGTTCGATGAGCCTTCCTCGTATCTAGATGTCAAACAGCGTCTTAATGCTGCTGAAACCATTAGATCGCTCATTCATCCAGATAAGTAAGCATTAACTGTTTAAGGACTAACGATTAATTTTTATTAAGTTTTTAATGTATTTATTATATATTTGTCGTAATATTTTAGATTTATAATAGTGGTGGAACACGATCTATCAGTTTTGGATTACTTATCTGACTTTATTTGTTGCCTGTATGGCGTTCCTGGGGCATATGGCGTTGTTACTATGCCCTTCTCCGTAAGAGAAGGAATAAACATTTTCCTTGATGGTTTTGTTCCCACGGAAAATTTACGATTCCGTGAGGAATCTCTTGTATTTAAAGTGGCAGAGAGTGCAACTGAGGAAGAAGTAAAACGCATGAATCATTATGAATATCCTGCCATGACAAAAACAATGGGATCTTTTTATTTAATCGTTGAAAAGGGACAATTCACCGATTCGGAAATACTTGTTCTATTAGGAGAAAATGGAACTGGTAAAACAACATTTATAAGAATGTTAGCTGGAAATTTACCACCAGATGATGGATCAGGTATATTTAAAGTACACTTAACCTAGAATAACATACTATTTGTAGAACAATCACCGAAAAGAAGCAGAGTAATTCTATATGAAAAAAATATTTAACAAATATATAAAATAAGTAAATATGCAAAGTTAATATTAAAAGTATAGAATAAAAATATATGAGAACTTGTAAAAATTTGAATTATCAATGATTTAAAGTATTTCTCTGCTTTAAGTCTGCACGATTTTGAAACGACATCTTGTACAGAATATTGATTTTAATGTACTTTTGCACAAAGTTATATAAAATAATGGTTGAAATTATTGTTTTATAGAAAGTATTCCTCAACTTCACATCAGTTACAAACCACAAAAGATAAGCCCGAAATCTCAAGGTGTCGTCAGGCAGTTATTGCATGAGAAGATCCGTGATGCATATGTGCATCCACAGTTTGTAACCGACGTAATGAAACCTTTGAAAATTGACGACATTATGGATCAAGAAGTACAGAATCTTTCCGGAGGAGAATTGCAGCGAGTTGCTTTAGCTCTTTGTCTAGGAAAACCAGCTGATGTTTACTTAATTGATGAACCATCAGCGTATTTGGATTCCGAGCAACGTTTGGTGGCTGCAAAAGTCATCAAAAGGTTTAACAAACAATATTAAATGCTTATCTCTGGTTACAGGAATGCGGCACGCATAAATGAGTATTACAAAAATTGCATTTACATTTTAGATTTATACTGCATGCAAAGAAAACAGGTTTTGTAGTGGAGCACGATTTCATCATGGCTACATACTTAGCTGATCGTGTCATAGTATTTTCTGGTACGCCGTCTCTAAGCACCACTGCCCATAGCCCTCAGTCTTTATTAAATGGTATGAATAGATTTTTGGAACTATTGGGCATAACTTTCAGAAGAGATCCCAACAACTTTAGACCAAGAATCAATAAGAATCAATCGGTGAAAGTACGTATAACATTTGCTAATAAAAATTTTTTATGACTGCTAAAATTAAGTCTTAAAAATTTGTTGAAAAAAAAAATCTTTAATTGATAATATTAAATAAAGTATGAAGTAAAATATATATTAATGTATAGACGCATTTATAAAATATGATTTTAAACTATCAGTTGAGGACAGATAAACTTCTAATTCTTGTATGTTAAAAAATCAAGAGTAAAGTTTTGATCAATCTTCTTTTGCAGGACTTGGAACAGAAAAAGGCTGGACAATATTTCTTCTTGGAAGAGTAAAATATATAGAGTAATACTTAGTATTACATATGCAAGTTAAATCGCATATATAAAAATATTGTGAAGGAAATTTTTTAACCTTTATATATTATACTTTTTAAATCCCAGAAATAAACTTACAATATATGTGTCGTAGAATATTAATGTTATATGTTCTAATGATAATCTAGAAAATTAATTAACAGAACTTGGAAATGTTTTTGCAAATACGTAATTATTTTACTGTGTAAATAATACAGAATATTCACATATATACGACTGTAAGATACTTAATTTAATAAGTAAATAGGAACGATTAAGAATAATCTACAAATATTAATTTTCCCGCAGGTATAATTATTAAATTATTTATGTAGTTTGAAAATATCCAATGTAGAGAAAATTCTTTATAAGTATCTGCCATATAACAGACTAATATCGAATTACAAATACAATATACAAACAAATTGCTGGAGTTATTTTATTACTAAATTAAATTAACTTAAATATAATTAAAAGATAAAAGAATAATGTTAGATTTTTTTTTAATGATTTAAGATTAAATTAAAGTTTGGTTGAAGTTAATTTAAGGAATTTTCTCTCTATATATATTACATTTTTATTAATTTACAAAATTATAGTACATTTTTACGAGGTATACTTTTTTTCTATATTTTAGATATATATTTACACACACACATTTTTAAATAAGACTAAGTCCTAAATAAGATATCTTTAAGACGTCCTAAAACGTTTTAAAAAAGACAGCTTTAAGACGTCTTGAAAAACGTTCTGAAAGACGTTTTTTAATTTCTTTAACAATTGGCATCTTGAATTTTACAATAAAAAAATTTTCCAAAAATTTCAAAAGAGATAGGTTTAATTATTCAAGTATTTTACAAACATCCTGACACCGTCAAAAATAGTCCAGAAGCATGTAG